AATACATTGCAATCATAACCATTTTCGGAGTTGTTCGCTAATTTTTACTTGACTTTAAGATTTTGTTTCGGGAACTTTTTGGAAATTTCCGCAGTTTTTTTCGTTTTTTTTTTGTGTGAAACTTTCAGCATATTTCGAGATTTTTGCGAAAGCTTTTGAGAATTTTCGGGTTCCAAAACACATGTGTACCCAAACTTTGCTTTTTGTGCATGCTTTCAGTCCTTTTTTGAGATTTTTCAGAATTTTCTTCTGGACCTTATGGATTCGGGACTTTTAGGAAATTTTCGTGTATTCTTCGAGACTTTTCGAACTCTTTTGAGGGTTTTCGGGAATTTACGGGTTTTTCGAAACCGTTTGAGATATTTCAAAAATACATTTAAAACAAAATCAAACTTTTTGCGAAAGCTTCGGAATCTTCCGGTCTTCTTCTCGATTTTTTGGGGAGGTTTTTCGGTACTTTTTGAGATCTTCTAGAAACTTACGTGCTTTCTAAAATTTCTGAGATTTTTCCAAACCACATTTAAATCATAACTATACGTTTTATGAATGCTTCGGAAACTTGCAAGTTTTTTCTGGGTTTTTTCGGGAGTTTTTCTTGACTTTGCGGAATATTTCGGGAGTTTTCGGTTTTTTTACGGAATTTTTTCGGTACTTTTTGGGGTTTTTTGAAAACTTACGGGCTTTTTCGAGATTTTTTTGCGAAATCTTTGGAGAAATTGCATATCCCAAAGTCAATTTATATCTCAACTATGCTTTTTACGAATGACTTCAATTCATGTTTGTGATTTTCGGATTTTTTCCCCACTTTATGAGTTTTTGAAGAGAAATTTATAATTTTTGTTTTAATTCTGGAAGACTGTTTGAATTATTTTCGCGCCTTCGGAGACTTTTCGAGATGTTTTAGGGACTATTTAAGATTTTAGCCTTTTTAGACTTTTATGGTTTTTACCGTAAATTTTCAGGTCTCAGAATGCTTTTAGAGCAGGATTTGTTCGTGACTTTTTGCTATTTTTCTTCGTTTTTCTGAACGTTCTCGGAAGTTTTAAGATTGTTCAGCATTTTTTCAGAATATCTGACTAATCGCTTTCAGCTAAATATCCATTGGACTCTGTCATATTGAGCCACTGACAACTGTAGTTAAATTTTTTCATATTTGTAATTGCCTCATTGCAAAATGCTTGTGTAAATTTAATTAAAAAATTAATTCTTTTGTCTGCAATAATTGCAGCAAAAACTTTCAACATACCTACACCCGTAAATGCATACAAACACACTTACACATGCATACATAACGGAAAGTTGCATTCAAATCTTGATTATATTCATGCTTCGCCTATTTTGTTGTAAACTAATAAACAACAGTGGTTATGGCATGTAATTCATTAGTTTTTAATTTCATAATTACCTTAGCATATGTTTAAGTGACCAAGATTTCAAAGACACTTTACGCTTTTTGCACATGCGCAGCACCAACAAACTGCAAGGTAATCATTAGTTAGCACTACGAAGATTTGTGTGTGATGGCACCTTTTTGACAGAGTCATTAATAGTTGGGTTGTAGCGATAAAAGAAACAGAGCGTATTTTACAACATGTTTTAAATTTAGTGAAGTTGTAAAATATATGTATGTGAAGGAGGAATTGATAACAAAGAGCAAAGAGCAACAAAGAGATATTACGACCTAGAATATTTTTTGTAACACTCCTTAACCCTGATATCCCAAGTTACTTAGGACCTCGATCTGAATGACTGTCGGCCATCTGCCTATTGCAATAGAAAGTCTAGTATCGGGTCTGTAAACACCCACATCTATGTTGTCCTTCAACTTTGACCCACTTGCACAGAACTCTGGGTCTGGTGCTTAGACCTGCTAATTGATTATAATGTCAGTATCGGGATTTTACCGGAGATTATCTCTCGATGCTGGTATTGTTTGCATAAAATGTGAGTTCTATGGTCGCGGTTGAACATGGGACCAATAAAAAAATGTTACCTATGACCAGTGTGACCAGGTGCGAATTTTTGAGGCTAGATTTAGCATTTAGTTTTATGACATAGCTTCAGAAATTTGGATCTGACTTCGTGGCTTTTTTCAGACTTTTTTACTTAAAAAATTCATACAAAAACTCGGACCGGAACTATAAAAATAAGTACCCTAAGCTTATTAAAAAATTTTAATACCTCAAAAACTACTATCTACCGTTGAAATATTATAATAGCAGTACAAAGGTCCATTTCTTTGAGAAAATAATTTCTTATCTTAAAAGAAAGAAGAAAAAAGAAGAAAAGACTATTCGGTTTGTTGGCGTATTACTTATGTACTCTGATGTAGAAATTATTAAAATTTATGTATTTTTTCTATACTAAACTAAACTTATTTCTGCATATATGTACATATGTCTTTTGATGAGAATGATTTAAAAAGTTATTTACAGAAAATCGGTTTTGTGAAGCTTATCGATTTTCTAAAGAATGAATATACTGACTTCTTTTTACATTCAATTTCCATAGGGTATAATTAGTTGTAGCCTTTTTTAAAAACGAATTTATCTTCGCTTGTCGGGATAATCTGGTCACACTGCCTGTTCGGTCACATTGTATGCGCCCTTTAGTGCATGCGCCCTCTGAT